CAAAATGTGAAATGAGAAGAAAGAGACAGATTTGATATGCCGCTTTCTGCCTGTTGAAAGTGGTTGAAATATACAAGTATCTTAAACCGCGTGGTATGCTTAAAAAAATCTTTTGGATCAGTGACTCACTCTGCATGAAATCCAGAAACAGGCATTGCCAAAATCTTGTTGATAAGATCTACAGCTACAGTCCTTAATGCACTTACTGTAAAATAGTTTGACTGAAAATAGTTTGAATATTCAAGTGAGAAATGGAGTTCTAGGCAGCCTTTGCCAACTTGATGCTTTCCAGCAATTTTTGTAATATATTTAAAAAAATTAAAAATTGTCCAGTAGGACCTTAGAGACCAACTACGTTTGTTCTTGGTTTAAGCTTTTGTGTGCATGAAGAAGTGTGCATGCACATGAAAGCTTATACCAAGAACAAACTTAGTTGGTCTCTAAGGTGCTACTGGACAATTTTTTATTTTTTATATATATTTTGACTGCGTCAGACCAACACGGCTACCTGCCTGAATCTAGCAGTTTTTTATTATCCAGCCAGCATAGGCTGTGGCTGATGGGCATTGGAGTCTCACTGAGTTTGGAATTCCTTGCTTCAGTAGTGACTTCTTCATGATGCTTTTTTCAAGGGCATCTTGATGTATCTTTTGTCTGGACTAGATCTTGGGGGTTTTCCTCATGTTTGACTATGTTTCCCAGCTCAATTTAGAAGATGTTTGTGAAGGATAAAGGAAGCAGCAGGCATAGTGTGTAGCATACATGTGAGCAGATGTCAGAAGACCAATTGCTTCGTGAAACTTTCTTCTTTTCATTTGATGATAGGCTAAGGAGTGCCCAGGGAGCCGGGTGTTTAACAGCCAGAGACCCCAAGACAGTCATTGTATTGTTCATAAACAACAAAATACCTTTGCTTGATCTATATGGTCTCTGTACATGTGCGGCAGAGTCTTGTTCCATGTCAGAAAGGAAATGAGACCTGCTATGTTTAAACACCATTGAAGCTGCTAATGAAATGATCTTTACATCAGAGATAAAAATTATGCAACAAGCTAATGGAATTGGCTTGTCAGTCTTTCTGACAAGCAGTTTCTGCAACTCATAGTCTAATCAATAGAGATACTTGGGAGTAAGTCCCACTAAACTCTGTGAGAGTTTTCTGTTGTTTTCTGTTGCTTCAGCAAAAGTTGTTCTTCCTTATGTCTAGTAAACATACCCCTGCCGTCTGGTACAACAGAAACCAAGTGTGATAGATATTTTGCCAAGATGTTGGGACAAATCATTCTTTGGAAATAAAAAAGCTCATGCAGGCTATAAAGAGGTCCTCCAGTGAAGGGTCTCGTTCTGGAGATTCTCTCTAGAGATTAGAAAGAACTTCTTGAAGGTACATGCTGTTCGCCAATAGAACAGACTGTATCAGAATATAGTGAACTTTTCCTTCATTAGCTGTCTTTAAGTAGAGGCTGGGAGGGCCCTAGCTCAGTGCTTTGCATGTAGAAGTTCCAGGTTCAATCCCAGGTGTAGCTGGAAGTGACTCTTGCCTGAAATCCTAGAGAGCAGCTCATAGTCAGTGTAGACAATACTGAGTTAGATGGCTCAGCGGTCTGATCCACTATCAGGTAGCTTCCTATAATCCTATATCCCTGTGATGGCTACTTGTCAGGGCTGCTGTAGTAGGAGGGTTTGATCCAGTGAATCCAGGAGGTTGAACCAGTTGACCCTTAAGGTACCACATGAGCATTTTACATGCAATCACTTTGCCTCTATCAAACTTATTCTTGTACACACAGACCTCTTCAAACCCTTCATGGATGCTTTCCATGCCATTTAAATGCTGAAATCCATAGAATCTTTCTGCCCCAGTTCCCCAGCTGTAAAATGGGTAAAATAAGGAAGGTGCAAATGACTTTGTAAAAAGTGTCCTTCCGTTTCCTACAACTGTGCCAGGGGTGTGGTACCATTTTCAGTCTGAGGGCCACATTCCATTCTGAGCAACTTTATTGGGGCCACATGCCATTCCTGGGTGGGGCAATGGGTATAAATTTTTACCTTTATACAACAGCCTAGTTTCTGTATGCACTCCTGCACCCTTCTTACTTCTCTATCTTGTCTCTAAGCAAGAGGACACATTCCAGAGTCGGGAAAACAAAGCAAGGATAATAGCAGATGTAGAAGTTGTGAAGCAGAGACAATGGTGTGTGTGTAGAAACCTCTGACTTTGCATGGCAATGGTAGCATCCATTGCTCTGCTTCTGGTCCTGCCCACCAGTTCCATATACCTCCTGGAAGGTGTCCAATACAGTGGTACCTCAGGTTAAGTACTTAATTTGTTCCGGAGGTCTGTTCTTAACCTTAAACTGTTCTTAACCTGAAGCACCACTTTAGCTAATGGGGCCTCCTGCTCCTGCCGCGCTGCCGGAGCACGATTTCTGTTTTTATCCTGAAGCAAAGTTCTTAACTTGAAGCACTATTTCTGGGTTAGCGGAGTCTGAAGCATATGTAACCTGAAGCGTATGTAACCCGAGGTACCACTGTACTGAAATATGGCCCTTGGGGTGAAAAAAGCTTCTTCATTCCTGTGCTAGAAGGTACACTGAATTTTCCACAAGTCTGTGCTGATTCCTCCAATGCAATGCAAGCCCCTTGAAAATCTTCCCTAGAGGGTTGAGGGTTCCCTAGAATTCCCACCAGAACTGCATGGTATGTGGTATAGAGCAGTGTTCTTCGACATTGGGCCCCAGACAACCCCCTTCATTCCTAAACAGTGGCGTAGCATGGGTTGTCAGCACCCGGGGCAAGGCAAGTAATTTGCGCCCCCTAACCCGTGGATTTGCGCCCCTAACCTATGGATTTGCCCTAACCCCAGATGTTGCGCCCGGTGTGGCCGGCCCCCCCTGCACCCCCCACGCTACGCCACTGTTCCTAAATACTGGCTAAGCTGGCTACAGGTGATGGGAGTCGTAGTCTCCCATCTGGGTACCCAAGGTATAGAGGGCTACCTATATATTGATGAAAGTGGGGTGCCTGGCCTTGGGCTAGTGGAAGCACTTCTACCAGCACAAAGCTACCACTGGCTGCCATGCAATGTGTGGGGTTTTCATAGGAGACCAGTGAAACATATTATCTCCCCCGCTCACCTTCTGAAATGGTGCAGCCCCAAGAGGGTTTGGCCATGTGCCTCCTCTGAATGTTTGAAAGAGCTCATCAAGCCAAAATCAGGAGAGATCAGCCAAGTAGGAGGCGTGCTAATCCCTTATGTAAACAGAAGCACTTTCAGTGGAGAGGAATGATTCAGTGCAGTGCAGCTTGGTGCCAATAATAAAAAAGAGATAATATGTAAGATGACATACAGGAAAAGAAATAGGTTTTGGAAGTGTGCTCTTGGCTGTGATGGGAGTACTCATCCTGGGATGGTAGAGTCTTCATTTGATGTGTTTTACTTTAACACTGTATTGGAAAAGGCAACAGGCAAGATCCTGGAAAATACAAACGGGTGTCTACCAGGGATTGGCCCCAATTACTGTTTCATGGCCCCTTCTGCGCTGTTTTCTTAAAAAGCAGTATAATATCACTTTAAATATTCATGGCTCCTCCAAAGGAATCCTGGGAACTGGATCCTGGAAGACCCCTATTCCCTGACAATTCTCAGAGTGATTTACCAATCAATCCCGGTGTTTCCCAACACCTCTCAGCAAACTTTTAATTCCCAGGATTCTTTGATGGCCATGAGTGCTCAAAGTAGCATGATAGTGCTTTCCACGTTTGGTGTGGACAGGACCATATCTAGAATTCAAATCATTAGATACTCACAGGTTTCCATAGCAACTTTGAGCGTGGGTGGGTGGGGTGGGCTGGCAGTGGAGGAAAGCATTTTAACTCCACTGCAGTATTTATTAAGCATTTTCCTGTTGCCTAAAAAATAATAATACAGGGTTGCTGTCAAATCAGGGGTATGAGAACCGGTTGCCCTGGATATGTTGTCGAACTAAAACTCCCATCATTCCTGACTAGTGGTCATGCTGGCTGGGGTTGATTGAAGTTGAATCCAACAGCACCTGGAAGGCCACAGCCTTACCATATGTGGTATAGGCAAGTGGCCAAAAGCTTAATTTTGTTTTTACGATGGCCTCTTTAGAAAGGAATGACACATTTAAACATCAGCAAATTGTCATGTTCCATACCAAAGGCTGAGTTCACTGGGCCAGGGTCAGTTTAAAAGAGACGCACATCTGTCAGAGCAGAATTGCCATCCTTTTGATGGCTTCATAACTTTAATGCCTTCAAGATGGGCAGAAACTCTTCTCACCACCGTATGTCCTGATCTATCCCCAACCATTCATGCTCTAGTTAGGCAGCTCTGTAACACAGTCTTGGGGGGAGAAGGGGGCTGTTCTATGAATAGGTTGTCTGAAAGAGCCCTGAGTTATTTAGTATTCATTTGACTTGGAAGTCAAAGTTATTGACTAAAAGCCATGCTTGAAATCCAAAACTGAGCTACGAGGGAACCACACACAGTACCTGCAAACTCTGCCAGGGTATGAGTCAAAGTTGGGCATTCTTTCATTAGACGACAGAACTTTAAATTTATGAACTTGAACAAACTCATTAGATTCATCCTGAATTTGCAGTTTTAAAAAATGTGGCCAAGTAACAGAAGAGCTAGTTTCTGCAGTGTGCAGGGGTGGGGGCTACAGGTGTTAGATATGACAGCTGTTAATTCCTCATTTATTCACTCATGTAGGTCAAGTGTCTGAGTCTGTGACCTCAAGGTTAGAACAAGAAAAGGAGGAGAGTCACAGGAAAGCTGAGAATTTCCCTGCAAAACAAGGACTCATTATATAACTGAAAAGCCACACAAAAGGTTGGCTGTGTTTGTAAGAGCAATTGCCTCCCACTTCCGCAGAGTGCTGAGTTCAGTTTAGCACAACGGGATGTGCAGGTGATAAGCATTTTTAAACATCCGGCTCTATTTAAATGTCTATTAGGAAGTGGGGAGGGGGTTGCTGCTGCTGCTGCTACTGCTGCTTCTTTTGGAAAATCTTTTCCTCACCAACAATGGGAAGTTGAGAAATAAACACTGCAGCAAGCAAAATCTGTGTAATATAACAGTTGCAGAACAGACTGCTGTGGGGGTGTGGAAGGGGAAAACCAACTTTCATTTTTATTTTTTTGTCCCAATCATGGTCTGTATAACAAGGTGGGATCATACAGCTCAGCATGTGATGGCTATTCAAAAGTTGACTCCATGGCAGCTCTAATCATGTGGAAGTTCAGTCACTGACTACATGATGAATCAAGCCTGCCTGCACTTGACTACATGATGAATCAAGCCTGCCTGCACTTCCTAATGACGGAAAGCAGTGTTCAATATGAAATTATTGAGCTTAGCAGAGAGCAAGTCTTGCCTGAAGCTTCACTTCTTCTGCAAAGGTAAGCCCAGTCTCGCTTATCTTCTAGTTCTTCAAGAGTGTCAACAAGCTTGTGAATTGAGGTGGTCCAATAAGCACTGCATACTTCGACTTTCAAAAAGCCTTTGACAAATTGTCACTTCTCAGACCTTCTGGAAATTACATCATTTGATAGCAAAATAGGAAGCTGCCTAATAATGAGCCTGATCCATTACCGGCAGTGGCTCAGCATTTCAGGCAGGGGGCATTCCCAGTCCGACCTGTAGATGTCAAAGATTGAAACTGGGACCTTCTGCATGCAATTTTTGTTTCATAATAACAAGGCTCATAATTAGTTGGCTTTAATTACCAGGAGCTGGCAATTATTGCTATTGAGATGATCCCAAGACAGAGTAAACTGGCAGGTATTCATTAACTATAACCATCACTGCAGCCCCCTAGATAAGAATAACTTTGCAACTAATGATTGAATGGAAATTTGCATCCTTTGCTTTGTTTTTGGTAGTGCCTTGCATCTCTCTCTCCCTCTGATACTCTATTACTACTTGGCTGCTATGCCATTGGGGATTTGCACCAAGAACAGATACTTCAGGGTTAACTTTTCAGTGGCTTATTTTTTGAGTGGGAGGAGATGTTGCTAACTTCCCCCTTTCCTAATTGTTTTTTAAGTTGATTCTAGCAGTCAAGATTCCAGAGTCTGCATAGACTGTGGGAGAGATGCCCATTATACTAGAACACTTCAACATCATCAAACTGCTGCCAACAATGTTTCCTGTGGAACATTGGTTTTAATCTTGTGTTATTCCTCCAAACACAGATGTTCAGGATCCTGTTAGGTGATTCTTAGCCCAACTGGGGTCATGCCTAGTCTATAAGTACTATGGCATCATGCCCAGAACGCCACGTAATGAGATGTACTCTACTGTTCTGTACTATCCAGGAAGATTCTCTGAAATAGATCTAAGCAGTAGGTAATTTAAGATGACACCTGTTATATAAGAGCTGAATTGTCAATACTAATTCCTAGTGTACAGAGACCTTAGATGCTTTTTAGTTTACATTTAATTTCTCTCTCTCTTATTAAAAAATGGCTTAAACGTCCTTTAAAAATTGGATCTAGTACACCCAATTTGAGTCACACAACTCAAACAGATTTGTTTTTTGTTGTGTGTGTGTGTATAAAATTTGTTGTATATATTTCAACAATCCTAAAGTTTAAGAGTTAGTAGCCCAGATGTTGTAAAGGTTGAAGAAGGTAACAGTGGTTACCCAGACCCCCTTACTGGTTGAGAAGAGGCTCCCATAACAGTTCAAGCTTCAGAGCTCCAAAAATGTAGGTCCACCACTATAAAGTTAAATTGGTATCCATTGCTCTACCCAACACTGGCATGTGGCCCCTGGAAAGTTACAGGGGCTGAAGAAGCTCCCCCACACTTGCCTTACATGGAAGGCTGAGGCCACCCAGTGTCTGATATGGACCCCCTGCTTCTGCCACCTCCTTTTGCTAGAACAGTGTCTCCTTTGCTTTCCTTTTCCCATAGGCATGGATGGCAGCAGTTCATTTATAAGCAACATGTACGCAGCCAGGGCTTTTTTCTGGGGGTACACAGGGGAACGCCTCCCCCTAAACATTTTGTGAATCTAAATTTGGCCTCATTGAGGGGCAGTATTTCAATATAAGTAGGAAAATGACAGCGCCCCTAAACATTTTCTTAGAAAAAAAGCACTATACAGCATATAAGCTACGGTGTGTGTGTGTGTGTGTGTGTGTGTGTGTGAGAGAGAGAGAGAGAGAGAGAGAGAGAGAGAGAGAGAGAAACTATTTGTCTTTTATTACTTTAATAACCCCAAATGTTGAGAATCAGGCTGGCTCTTTTCTGCATAACTCTGCCTCCTCATCTTCATCTAGAGCTCCTTCATTAGTCATACTGGTCATGCTAGTCACTTTTGGCACTGACTTTGAAAAAGATTAGAAAGAAAGAGAGAGAAGCACAAGGGGTTTTTTGTATGTTCCAGTATGTCTTGGAAGAATCATATAAACATACAAAGTTGCCCCATAGCTGACTGGTCTGACAGTGGTACTCCAGGGTCTCCAACAGAGGTTGTTCCCTGATCTTTATGGGTGGAGAAACCAGGGATCGAAAAGATTCCGGCATTGCAGGGGGATGGACTAGATGTACAATCTTTGGGGTGGTATGTTCTGGGCCCGTATCACCAGTTGCTTCCGTTTCATCATGGGGAAGCCATGCACATAGTGTATGAAGAACAAAATGGCACACAACACAGTGCTGCTAGTGAACCTAACGTGGTTCAGTCATTGGCACCACAATTGCATTGGATGCAGTGCTGAGTTCATTGGCAACTTGAATCTTTGACTGGTCCATAGCTGCGCAGGCCCTGGGCGTCACATGAACACCATGGTACAATTAGGGCGGATCTGGCTCACAAATCTGTATTAGAACACATTCAGAGTCGGAGGCCCACGACTGTAAAGTGGGGATTAACCTATCTTAGAATGGCTTACTCTGTGGTATCAGAAAGCATAAACAGCACCACGTAATGCCAATGATGAATATGAAGTTTTGAAATATTCTACTAATTATGGGCATAAAAGTACTTTGGAGACTGATAACAACTCTGCGAGGCTGTCAAGAGTTCCAAAAAGGATCTGAAAACTCACAGCAACACGTTTGTTGGCTCAGCTTCCCAAACATGTGCAACTTAGTCATGTCCACCCATTTGCCCTGAATCCCTGATATTATAACAACAACATCCTCTGCTTCTGCACTTCAGTCTCTGCAAGCTCTTTGGGGTGGAAGTCATAAGCTTCTTGCACTTGAGCCTTGTGCTGTGTGTGGGGTCTATGCCTGGCAGATGTTAAACAATGATATATTTTTTTATAATAAAAAAAAAATAGCCCACCTGGAGTAGGCAGCCTGGGATCTTCTCTGAAGTGAAACTTGATGCTTTTCAGCAAAGACACACCTCTTTCAGGGTGTTGTGCAAATTTCTCTATTTTAACCGTAGGGACAGGAAATATGAAATGGGACAGCCAGGATCCAAAGATCACGTAGGCCGAAGTTTATCAACTCTTGACAAACAGTAAATTAGAGGCTTGTGATGGAGCTGTTGCCACGAGTACCCTGAATTGTCAGAAGGTTGGACATTTGGGCAAGTTGCTGCCTCTATGCTACCAGGTTTTTGCAGCATAGACATTGCTCCCTCTGTCTGGAACAGCTCTGCAGGGCTTTTTTTCCCTCCTCCTCCTTGCTTCTCATGCTTGATTATTTCCTGACTCTGCAGTGGGATGGGTCTGCTGCAAAAGATTCTGGTTCTTTTTGCAGGACTGATCTTGGCCTTCTTTTTTTATTCGGGAAATGAAGACTTTAAGCCGGGTAAGTTGTTGTTGTTTTTAAGTAAAGACATTTTAAAATAAAAGCAGGGGGGAGACGGAGGGGGAGAAAGAGAAAGGAGTCACACTGGAATGGTTTTTATACAGGAACTGGTGCAAGCCTAAAACGAAACATGTCTGGGCGTTGCTTGCATTGCCGATAATAGAAGGCTTTGCTTGGCAAGCCTTTGAAATACATCATGCAACAGGCAGGGCTATTTTTTTTTTCTTCCTGCAAACAGGTGTGGTTAGGAGGCTTGCCATTTGGATTCTCCAACAGCCTTTCATATTCTGTCTATTTCGAAAAGGCTTTCTTTAAAGTTGCTTAATTGTACAATTGCTTCAAAAACTCAAGAAAGCTGAACGTATGAAGTGGCTTGAAAAACAAATGCATGTTCATGTTTAATTAGAGTAAAATAACAACAACAACAAAAATAAATGGCTGTCTTGGCATTCTGCATCCTTTTTGGAATGTTAGCAATTCTTATGACTGCTGGTTTCTTGGGAGAAGAATGCAGATTAGACTGGAAGATTGTTGGGACTGGGCAACTGATCGGCAGGCAGAAATGGCTGTTTTTCTTCTTGAGCTTCTTGCCCTTTTAGAGACTGATTTAGGATTGGGTGGTGTGTTTAATGCGATCTTTATAAATGGCTGTCCCTATATCTTGCTCTCCAGAAATGCTGAAAGGGAAGCGTGTGATTGTTACTGGGGCAAGCACTGGAATCGGTGAGCAGATGGCATACCACCTGGCACGCATGGGCTCCCACATACTGATCACTGCGCGAACAGAAGCCAAGCTCCAGAAAGTAAATGTCATATACTCATATATGCATGTCTTTTACTGGGCATGCTTCTGTAGAGTCACCTGCACACACAGGTGATAGATAACGTGTAACCCCATGAATGTAAAATTCATATTTATGTGCATTGGGATAAACATTCACATACGGGTGACGATAAATTGCCAAACCTGACAGGAAGGAAGGGAGAGTCGTATGCTTTACTAAAATTCAGATTTATATAAATTTATTTATTTCCAGATGCAATTTAGGTTTTGCAGTTTTACCACCAGCAGTGTGAATGCATGTCTCAATTTACAGGAATATCAATTTACAGGAATATCAGTGCATTTGCTCATAAAAATAGAAGAGAGAGGCAGTAGGTGCCGTTACAGAAGTGTGACTCATGGGAAAAGGGATCCACATATAAGGGCATTCAAAAATTATGAAAGAAAAGATAAAAATTTGGAGAATTCCTAGTGGGTTGCATGCAGGCCTTTTCTTGTGCTTACATTACTTTCAGGTTGGTTATGGGATGTTTCTGAGCATTTTTTCCCTTTCATTCTGCAAATCCTCTCTCCAGTGGTCTGCACTCTGCAGCATTCCTGGGTGCCTGCATTTCCTGAAAAAGCCATGATGTCCTTAGCTGCACTTTTCTGTAAGCATGGGAAAGCGGGGAGGCTCCTGGCAGCTATTGGCTGTTGTTGTTTGAAAAGTAAAGGGTTTTAATTTTATTTTTTCCTTTTAAAGAAACCATTGAAAAATGATTTTTAAAGGACTTCCTTCAAAAAACAAAACAAAAAAACACCAAATCAGTGATCACACTGTTCTCTGTGCCTTGGCAGCGAGCCCTCCTGGTTTCCTATGTTTCAATTCAAACTCAGGGGAAGAAATCATGCAGTAACACCCCCCCATGGGCCTTTACCAGATCAGGAAGTGCAAGCTGCTAGGAAGACTGTGGAGCTCTGGAGAAACATTTCATGGAAAGAAAAACACAAGACGCACCCACAGCCACTTTGCAGTGATAAGATAAGCCTGACCCCTCATCCACTCAAATTCTAAATCCTAAAGTGAGAAAGAGGCGGGACGGTGGAAGTCTCTTCTGCAATGGAAGAATACTTTTTCAGAACCTGAAGAACAGAGAGTTCAGTACACAGCACTAGGAAAAACCACCCAAGGGTCACCATGCATGTCAATAATGACAAACAGCAGTGTGAGAAGCACAGATGTGGGAAGATTATTGCCCTAGAGTGGAAAAAGAAACAACCCAGGAGGTTTTATAGACAATAGACAATAGCAACCCACACAGTGACTTGAAATGCTGGAACTCAACTCCATTTGTTCCTATTTGCACCCTTAGCCAGGCGAGAAGAGGCAGTGTGCATTAGGTTCATTAAGGGCCACAACTTTATTTGTGTTTTATACAACAAATTCACAGTGAGACTGGAAGCTGCGCAGCCCTAAGGACTGCCCCTCCTAACCTGAATTGTTCACATTGCTCCCGACATACACATATTTGTATGCAACGTCGCCTAATATCTTTTCAAGGATTTTCTCCCAACATTTTAGAGCATTCGGGCTCATCCTGCCATGATCACACAGAGCTGTGGGCATTGCCTCTGCTTCGCTTCTGGCCACTAAGCCAAGCTGATGAAATCGCACTGTCTGAGTAAAGAACAGGGCATTGGCAATGCCATTATCCAATTCTGGGACATGGCAGGCAAGAAGCAGTACTTTAAAGATAAGGCACCATAGTGTAAATGACTTCACCAAACCCTTCTGATTTCAGAGTTAGGAGATTAACAACATGCCCTTTTGCAAGATTGTCAAGCCAGAAATGGGACATGGAGTTGGCGAACAATCAGACACTGCCATCATTTCAAAGAATTCTAAAAATCTGAGGTCCTGTGATTGCATGTTAGAGCGGGATGGGAATGCCTATTGGCCTGCTTCTTGGTTGGTTGCCTTTGCCATTAATCCAGGCGTAGGCAAACTCAGCCCTCCAGATGTTTTGGGACTACAACTCCCATCATCCCTAGCTAACAGGACCAGTAGTCAGGGATGATGGGAGTTGTAGTCCCAAAACATCTGGAGGGCTGAGTTTGTCTATGCCTGCATTATTCTATCCCTTCTTGAGACACATTCAGTTTAACAACATCCAGCAATATCAGTCCCTGGACCCTTATGCTCCACAAGTAGCTATATTTTCCCCAAACCCCAGTTGCGCTAGAACAACTGTTTACAGGGGGAGTTAACCACCAAGGACGCAGGGGGTTAAGCCTGGGACCTTTTGCCAGTGTAATCTGTGCATTAGCACTGAGCCAATGCCTGCTTGGAGCTGTTAGGATAGTGTTGGTACAGCCAAAGTCTTGCAGCACAGGAAAACCTCTTTGCCAGCAGCGCCCAACATGCTCCATCACTCACTGCAAAGTCAAGGAAGAAGAGCTTGTGAGGGGTGGAGTGATTCCTTCATTGATGTGGTTTCTGCCTTGAAGCTGGTGTGCCCACTTGCATGCATGCATCTGCATGTCTAGTGTCGAGCTTGCTTCTTTCTGGCACGGGCGCACTGCCTTTCCTCCAGCCACTCATGGGAACACAGGAAGTTGCCACTGGTCCATCTAGCTCAGCACTGTCTCCATCAGGGATAGCCAGCATGGAGCCCTCCAGATCATCCTTGAACATCCATCATCCTTGAACATTGGATGATGGGATCTGTAGCCAACAACATCTGTTGGGGGCAGCACATTGACTACCCCAGCTGTTGTTCAACTACAACTCCCATCATCCCTCACTAGCAGGACCAGTGGTCGTGGATGATGGGAATTGTAGTTCAAAAAACAGCTAGAGACCCAAGTCTGGGAAACCCTGCACCAGACTTTCAGCCTAGCAAGGTTTGGTAGAAGTGGGTCCAAGCTAGGGATCTTTATCTTTGTACACTGACTGAATTACTTAACAGAAAAAGTAACAAAGCCTATGATAGGGTTAACTACTGCAACTACGCCAGTACTCTATACTTAGTACATACTTATGAATCACCTTTGCTTAGATTTTAATAGCCTTTATATTTAAATTATTTGTTATATTGTAAAGCAGAATGGCCCCTTCATGGATCACTACCTTGCCATGGCGAAGGGCTTGAATAACTCAGAGAAGCTATGAGCTATACGTGAGGGCACCCAAGAGACAGGCATGTGGAGTTTGACCAACATGATCCACCTGGGCAGGAACGGCAGCACTCCATCCCGCCAAGAAACTCCATGGCAAGAAACAGGCATATACAGTATGTCAGAGCTCCCCCGATCTCAGCTCACGAGATACGCTAGCCAGGTGCTTTATAAAGCTTTGAGTTACAGTTTTCATTCCAAGCTGCTGCGTGAACTCTACGTCTTATGGCTAGGCGAAGCTCCGTCGGAATCTCCGCCTGACACATTAAATCCTCAGCCTACTCCAGTGACGCCTTCTCTGGTCCTCTGCCCGTGTTCTCCTCGGGACTCTCTGCGCTGACCCCGGAACCCTCTGTCTCTCGTCGGCTTTAGACTGGCTCCCTTTCGGCTGCTTACTGCGCGCCTCCTGTGCATGGGACTTGAACGAAACTCAGCGCATATAAAATTCATGCTGCTGGAAGATGCCAGCTTCCTCAGGTCGGGTCGGACCAGGGCTGCTCCAATGCATGCTCTGGGAAGAGACTGGGAAGCGGAGGACAAGTACAAGTAGATTCAGAGCTGATGAAGCGGCTGGGCCAAAGCCGAAAGGACGCTCAGTTGTGGATATGCCTGGAAGCGAAAGGAAAGTCCAATGCTGTAAAGAAAAATATTGCATAGGAACCTGGAATGTAAGAACCATGAACCTTGGTAAATTGGATGTGGTCAAAAATGAGATGGCAAGAATAAATATTGACATCCTGGGCATCAGTGAACTAAAATGGACGGGAATGGGCGAATTCAGTTTGGATGACCATCACATCTACTACTGTGGGCAAGAATCCTGTAAAAGAAATGGAGTGGCCCTCATAGTCAACAAAAGAGTGTCAAAAGCTGTACTGGGATGCAATCTCAAAAATGATAGAATGATCTCGATATGAATCCAAGGCAGACCTTTTAACATCACAGTAATCCAAGTTTATGCACCAACCACTGGTGCTGAAGAAGCTGAAATTGACCAATTCTATGAAGACTTACAACAACTCATAGAAATGACACCAAAGAAGGATGTTCTTCTCATTATAGGGGATTGGAATGCTAAAGTAGGGAGTCAGGAGATAAAAGGAACAACTGGCAAGTTTGGCCTTGGAGTTCAAAACGAAGCAGGGCAAAGGCTAATAGAGTTCTGCCAAGAGAACAAGCTGGTCATCACAAACACTCTTTTCCAACAACACAAGAGACGACTCTACACATGGACATCACCAGATGGGCAGCATCGAAATCAGATTGATTATATTCTCTGCAGCCAAAGATGGAGAAGCTCTATACAGTCAGCAAAAACAAGACCTGGAGCTGACTGTGGCTCAGATCATCAGCTTCTTATAGCAAAATTCAAGCTTAAACTGAAGAAAGTAGGAAAAACCACTGGGCCGGTAAGATACAATCTAAATCAAATCCCTTATGAATACACAGTAGAAGTGAGGAACAGGTTTAAGGATTTAGATTTGGTGGACAGAGTGCCTGAAGAACTATGGATGGAGGCTCGCAACATTATACAGGAGGCAGCAACTAAAACCATCCCAATGAAAAGGAAATGCAAGAAAGCAAAGTGGCTGTCCAACGAGGCCTTACAAATAGCGGGGGAGAGAAGGCAAGCAAAATGAGAGAAGGCAAGCAAAATGCGAGGGAGATAGTGAAAGATAAAGGAAATTGAATGCAGATCTCCAAAAAATAGCAAGGAGAGACAAGGCCTTCTTAAACGAGCAATGCAAAGAAATAGAGGAAAACAATAGAATGGGGAAAACCAGAGATCTGTTCAAGAAAATTGGAGGACGATTCATACTTATTTTCCTTCACATTTATTCTAAGGGCAGTTATATGACAGGAGAAAACAAAAAAATGAAACAAAAAGAACACCCCTGCTTAAAAACAAACAAACAACCCACTTCAGAAAACAGCAGTCGTGTACGTCTCATTTGATCATGTGTAGTACAACTTATTGATGCTTTTGAATTATGGTGCTGGAGGAGACTCTTGAGAGTCCCATGGACTGCAAGAAGATCAAACCTATCCATTCTGAAGGAAATCAGCCCTGCGTGCTCACTGGAAGGACAGATCCTGAAGCTGAGGCTCCAATACTTTGGCCACCTCATGAGAAGAGAAGACTCCCTGGAAAAGACCCTGATGTTGGGCAAGATTGAGGGCACAAGAAGGGGACGACAGAGGATGAGATGGTTGGACAGCGTTCTCGAAGCTACAAACATGAGTCTGACCAAACTGCGGGAGGCAGTGGAAGACAGGAGTGCCTGGCGTGCTCTAGTCCATGGGGTCACGAAGAGTCAGTCACGACTAAATGACTAAACAACAACAACAAAGAAGAATGCAAAAACTAGGTACTAGAGAGCCAGTGACACTTACAATTAAGTCTGTCAAACTGGAATAATGAAGAGGATTTTCCACCTGCCCTGATTATAGAAAATCCAATGGTCTCCTGAATATTGTTGCAGACTTTAAAATGCAGCTCTTGCTCAATACAAAATATGGTCATGATTACAGACACATTTTTAGGACTTCCAATACATTTGTAAAAGCAAGCTAGAAGCCAGACATGGCTGTGACAGCAGCTGTTGCGGTGACACCAGTAAGGGATAAAGTTCTAAAGCCAGAGCCCATACCCAGAATTTGCAAGTTCATTTTAAGAATGTTCAAGCCCATTTTGCTTCATTTTGATTTTTACAAATGAGAAATTCGGTGTTCTTGCAGCTGGAAACTTTGATGAAGCTGCTTTTTCCATTGGAAATTCCCCACTAATAATGCTGACCCTTTATGCACACAGCCTCCACCCCACCCCCGAAAAAATGTTGTGCTCAGAGTATTCTGGTAAGCTGAACTAGCCAGCTGTTTCCTTGCAATGCTGCATAGCATAGGAATTTAATTTGCTGGGATGCAAAAGGGGCTGAAAGGGCAACGAGCCTCCAGAATTCTCCTTTCCTCTTTGTTTCAGGTGGTTGCTCAGTGCTTGGAGCTGGGGGCAGCATCTGCCAGCTACATAAATGGCAGCATGGAAGACATGGCATTCGCTCAGTCTGTGGTGAAGAAAGCAGAGGAATTGTGGGGTATGCTTACTTTATAAGGACATCAGAAGTGCTGTGCTGGATCAGACCAAAAGCCCATCAAGTCCAGGGCCCTGTTTGCCACAGTGGTCAACCAATAATAATAATAATAATAATAATAATAATAATAATAATAATACCTTTATTGTCAATGTACAACCTGTGTACAATGAAATTAACTGAGCCTCCCCCCCCCCGACAAACACTCAATCTCATTGCAGTCTGTGTACTTGTCACACAACACCCCAACCCCGAATGTCAGTTGCACTATATTATTTTCCATTCAGCAGCCTAACAGCCCATGGATAGAAACTGTTTTTTAGCCTGTTGATATGACTGATTATACTTCTATATCTCCTACCCGAAGGTAGAAGATTAAAGAGGTGCTGGCTGGGGTGTGAATCGCCCCTGAGAATTCTTCTTGCTCTCCTAAGGCAACGATCCCTTGCGATGTCATCTAGCGGGCTCAGGGGACAGCCCATGATATCATGTGCTGTGTTCACCACCCTCTGTAAAGACTTTGTGTCCGTGGCTGTCAAGCCAACGTACCACACTGTGATACAATATGAGAGGACACTTTCTATTGTGGACCAGTAGAAGGAGGTCATCAGCTGTTGTTTAACAGTGTTCTTTTGCAAGACCCTGAGAAAATCGAGTCTCTGTTGGGCCTTCCTAACCACCTGAGTTATATTGTTTTTCCAAGTGAGGTCTTCACTAAGGTAAACTCCCAGGAATTTAAAGGAAGAGACTCTCTCCACACCAGATACCCATAGGGAGCTCATACGCAGGACATGAAGATAATAGCCCTCTCCCACTCATGATCTCATCAATCAATATTCAGGGGTAGACTGCCACAGAACCTGGAGCTTCTACACAGCCATCATAAATTGATAGCCTTATCCTCCATAATGGATTGTTTGGTCACCTTTTAAAGCTGTCCAAGTTGGTGATCATTCATCACTACATCTTGTAGCAACAAATTCCAGAAATTAATAGTGGAAAGTTTAGTGAGTCAGAGCAATGCAGGAAACTCCACCCTGCCACCAAGTCCCTCGCAACTCACTCCTGCTGTATGTCTGTCCACACTGGCGCAGCACCTATGGGTGCTTCCAGGAGGTGTTTATTGTGGGATGAGCACTCCCCGTAGCTGCAGATTTTTCACAGCATCCACATTGGCACCAGTGCCAGCCTGTTCTCCTCTATTTAATCTAAGTGCATCCTTTCTAAGGAAAATAAAACCTGTTACCAACATCGTTAGAATATTAAGGCCCTGTGTGGAAGTGCTGTGTATTACGAGTAGAGAAAAGAAGAATCCCAAAATTATCCCTGTAAAAGCGTGGGAGGATAACGGACAAAACACTGGGATGCAGTGCTTATCTGTATTCCCTGTAATATATGAATGAATAAAATATTCCAGGGGAAAGGCAAGTTTGGAAGCAACCTGAATCTCACACATTCACTCAATTTGAAGAGATTCTTCTAAACCTGCTCCTCACAGTCCACTTGGATTTTCACTATGCTGAATACCGTAATTTGGTATCATTCACAACCTTGGTCACCGCAATGCTCACCCTGACTCCAAATCATAATAATGTGTTCCAATAGAACTCCTTGGTGGAACACTAGACTGCTTACTCCCCTGTTTTTGTTAAAACTGCCCCTTTATGCCTAATATTTAGCTAATTAACACATACTACTATGCTGTGGCTTTGGTGAAGTACTTAATCAAAGAAAAGATGTCCTGAAATCTTCAGTTCCAAAATGGCCACTACCATAGTAGTATAAGCATCACTCATTAACCTGATAGAGAAAGCTAGTCTGAGTTCTGCTATGCTATTAAGTGCTCTTAAAGCTTTCCAAAGCTTTAAGCTCTGTTTTTGATTCTCATGGGCTGCAACTCTCTGTGAATCAGGAATGTGGAGCCTTCTGGCCCAGTACGACCCCAGTTGCTCACACTCACCAAACCATTTTGCAGCAGCTTTTGTGACATGATTGCATGGCTGACACACTGGGAACTGAACCATGGACCTCCCTAGCTAGAAGCACACAACTGGAAGTACTCCAAATCTACCTGAAGAGTTTGGCTCCAGTGTGAAGTGTTAACAGCCTTATATGCCCTGAATCAGGCACAGGCTTGTACGGAGCATCATAACTCACTGAAATATAGATGGCCTGATAGAAAACCTTGCCCAGCCTTACCTCTGCTGCAGATCAGAGCTAGATCACACCCAGGAAAATGTGAATCATTGCTTCAGGGTTGTCATTCTAACATTGTTTCCTTGAGATAACAAGCCTGTTGCAAGCACAAGCTGAGTCCAGAAACTCTGGACCAAACGCAGGAAAAAATGGCAGTGACACAGCTGAGTCCTTCAGTTAGGCACCTCAAGTTATGCAGACACATGGGTCGGAACCAGACATTCAAGTATCTCTTCTTTTAGAAATTAAACAGCATTGCTAGGATAGCTGATCAAGACAAACAATTCTAACAACCCTTTTCTGTTTTTAGGAGGTCTCGATATGCTTATTCTGAATCATGTTAGCCCTGCCTTCTTAAGCTATTTCAACAGTGATGTTGCGTATATGCAAAAGGTCCTGAATATCAATTTCTTAAGCTATGTGACCATGACAGTTGCATCTCTTCCCATGCTTAAGAACAGCGGAGGAAGCATCGTAGTGGTTTCATCCTTGGCAGGTGAGTACAAACAGCATTTGTGTGAAGTAGCTCTCAGCGGCCCTCAGAGCCTTAGAGCTCCTTAAAACATTTCTGATTTCCCTGCTATGATCGCCGTGCACGTTGATGACTGCGAACATATATGACTGCACACTCAGCTGGTTGCAGCTTCCAATTGTGCACACCCTCAGCCAACTCCAAAAAAGATCATGTGTGGTGATCAACTCACATCTTTAATGTGTTTTCTTACCTGAAATGCTCCCATTAATGAAAAAAAACATCTCTGAGCTGCTCACCTTGTTAAGCAATAGCAAGGCTAAGGAATTTTCCATAACAGTGATTCTGGTGACTGTTCTCCTTTGTAGGGTACAAAACAAACCCGGTGTGAATTATATGGATGGGTCTACTCAATTCTTCCATTGGCACTTCTGCAAGGATGGCTTCTAGTCCCTTCACCTCTCTCTCTGCTTGTGAGACAGGCCAGGGGCTAATTTTTGAATGTCTCCTGCCACTGCTCAGGGAACGGTATTCAAATGTTCTACTATTGGTATCTCAATTGAATTTCATATATTCATAATAATCCTCATAGCAGCTTTACCCTAGCACAGGGGACGGGACTCTATAGTCCTCCAGGTGTTGCTAGACTACAACTCCCATCAACCTTAGGTCCCGGTCAGGATGGCTAAGGGACAGGGATGATGGGAGTTGTAGTCCAGCAACCTCTGGAGGACTAAACTTTCTCCACTTGTGCCCTAAGCATTTGACAGGATCTCTGGGTCACAGTCTGGCAGCCTTGTGCTTTTATTAAGTGTGGTTATGTACAATTCTTCATTGCATTTCTATCAGAGTGTTTCTGTTCTGCTTTAAAATTTCACAGGCTATAATCAGAGTTGCATATAACTGCTAATATACAAAACAGCCCTATAGAGGGGGTGGGGAGGGAGAAACAGTTCATCTTGAGAGCTTTGAAAGATATGCAATATCTTTTAAACAATTCTTACAAGGTCCAGTTATGCCATAAGTTCAAGTTTCTGAGTGCTTACATAACTTGGAAACATTTTATAAACAAAATAATAAGTAATCAAATGGAAGCAGGAAGGGGGAAAATATCTCTCACAGAGATGCAAGCAATGCTGGTTTTACTTTGCCACCTGCAGGATTAAAGTGGAATTCACCCATGACTGTACTATTGCTATACTGTATTTGCAGGCAAAGTTGCATTCCCATTCACTGTTTACTATTCTGCAACAAAATTTGCCCTGGATGGGTTTTTCAGCTCCTTGAGGCAAGAATTTGCCATGAAGAACACCAACGTTTCCATCACACTCTGCGTCCTTGGACTCATCGATACAGGTACAATTTAACATTTTGAAACCTGACTATAAGGACCTGGCTTTCATTGGCAGGTTTGTGCTGTGCTCAAAATCCTTCAGATCTCAACTTCAACAACGTGAACGTAAATATGGATCGTTTGTTTATTGCCTTTTTTCTAATCTAAAACACCATAGATTGTAATGCCATGAAATTGCCAAGAAACGTCTTCTCAAGTAGGGCTTGCCCATAAATTATGTTTGGACAGTGAAGCCAATGGATAAGGCGTGCAAATTGCTTCTGAAGTGAATATGCAAACTTTTGCATTAATGATGAAGTGTTATTTCTAACTCAAAAGCATCCATTTGCATCAGTAGAATATAAAATGGTTCCTCAGTTCTTCTCTATATATCATATATTATTTAGAAGAGAAGGAACAGTGCTGAAGAGAAGAGGGCAATGTTTAACGGTACATTTCTAGGTCTGGAATTGACTGTGAGCTTTCCTTCCCTCCAAACCATGTGAGCTTCTTCGACTTCCTTTTACATAGAGACCCTTTTACATAAACACATACTTGCACATGCAACGGCACAAAGACACAAGAGTTACCATTGGAAACAGCCAGCACATGTAACTCAAAATTCCTGAGAACTTGAAAGAGTGATTTCTAACAAATCACTTGTCTAATGCACAAGTTGTAGGGATCCACTTGGGCAAAACCATGACCGGATGGCAACCACCACAAGCTGTAATGTTTCATCCTATGAAGGCAGTACCAAATATGGTCTACGGTACACTCCTGATGTGGAAACTGCCACTGCAATTAGTCATCTGAATTCCTCTGAAATTGTCTATTCTCACATACCACCCCCACACACTTGGAAATTCAGTGATGCACTACAGTGGTACCTCGGGTTAAGTACTTAATTCGTTCCGGAGGTCTGTACTTAACCTGAAGCACCACTTTAGCTAATGGGGCCTCCTGCTGCCGCCGCGCCGCCGGAGCACAATTTCTGTTCTCATCCTGAAGCAAAGTTCTTAACCTGAAGCAATATTTCTAGGTTAACGGAGTCTGTAACCTGAAGTGTATGTAACCTGAAGCGTATGTAACCCAAGGTACCACTGTATTTAGTGGAAACAAAACCAGGCAAAGTTTCTTATCAGCTCCACTAGACTGCAATCCTTTACACATTTATCTGAGGCTGAGCCCCATTAAACCTAATGGGGTTTACTTCTGAGTAGACAGGTATAAGCAGGGGTAGACAATCTAAGGCTGGATGTGGCCCAATCGCCTTCTCAATCCGGCCCGCGGATGGTCCAGGAATCAGTGTGTTTTTACATGAGTAGAATGTGTCCTTTTATTTAAAATGCATCTCTGGCTTATTTGTGGGGCATAGGAATTCATTCATTTCCCCCCTCCCTCCCCCCCAAAAATATAGTCCTGCCCACCACATGGTCTGAGGGATGGTGGACCAGCCCACGGCTGAAAAAGGTTGCTGATCCCTGGGTATAATTCACTCTGCCCAGTAGGCACTTGTTGACTGACTTCTTGAACAGAGGGTACCTACTTAACTCGAGCTCCTTTTCTTCCCTTAGAAACGGCCATGAAAGCAATTTCTGGAGTGGTCCAGATCTCTGCAGCACCAAAGGAGGAATGTGCACTGGAAATCATTAAGGGAGGAGCCCTGCGCCAAAGGGAGATTTATTATGAATATTTATCTACAAGAATCCCTTTATTGATCCGGGACTGGGCTCCAAATCTCCTGGATTATATCATTCAGAGGAATTATAATGTTGAAAAACTGAAAGATTAACTGCTCTTTAGCTTTTCTTATTTTATATATTAGCCACATTGAGTCCCTGTCAGGGAAAAAGGCGGGGTATAAATAAATATAATAGCACCTAGAACTTAAGAGCACTGAGAACTTAGTGCACTTGGAAATAAAGCTCTGCCCAAATTTCAGATTTGGCACCCACATACAAAAATCAAATGTGAAAATTTGAAGTCTTTGGGGTTCATTTTTGACAGAGCTAGTTTTGCTGATAAAAAGGTAAAGTTATAGGTCTGTATCCAAAGATGTCACTCAACCGACTGTAAGTCTTCCATTGACAGAGGAGGGAAGGGAGCGCTTTTTATGACAGCACCCCCTCCCAATCTGCATTCCCCCTCCCAATCTGCTGTGAGACCCTTCAGAGTAGATTTAGGGAGGCATGGGGATTAGAAGAAGGAAATTGATTTCCTTACTATATCACTTATGGAAGCCTTGTTGTCAGTTGAGAAACGACGATTGATACATCCCATGAGGTTTTGCACTTTAAAAAATAAACCAACAGAGAAACACTGTACTACCTAAATCCATATTTGAAAATGTTGTAAAAAAATGTGTCAGGGAAATATAAAGTTGATTTCTTGCAAGAAATTGTCTCCAAAATTTTAGCTCTAGCTGCCCAGAATGGGTACAAGGAGACGTAAAATTAAAGCTATATGTAAATATGTCTTTATATTGCTTTCCCTCCAGAAAAAAAGACATTATTTCGTTTTTAAAACCTGATCTTTAAAGTTATAACATACATATTATGCTACTGATTTTATTAAGGGATGGTTTTGTATTTATGGCCTTTTAAGCAATGTTTTTTGTGCATCCAATGGCTCCCCCATCTGGTGGATTAGATTCACAGGCATCACATTGATCTGAACACATGCCAGCGAGCTGAAACTAGGGCATGGCAGCTCTTGAAACCATGCTGTGCTTTAATATATTGCTTCTGCGTAAGAATTGTCTACTTTTAAAACTACTGTTATATAATCTTGTTGGTGGTTTATTTGAAGGGGGGGGGAGCAAGTTACACCACAGTTTAGCATTATTCAGGAAAACCTAACTGTAAATATGAGAAAATACTCTATTGTCCCACAGCCCCCACCACTCAGGAATGCCCTCCCAGTAGGGATTCCTGTATTTGAGCCCTACTTGTTTTAGCCACTGTTCATTAGGTTGGCAATGTTCCTGATGTTACTATGATTTATCTTTGTCTAGATTTGTCTCTAACCGTTGTTAAATAGCCACGTGGCATCTTGATCTCAAGCTATCCTCTCCTCTCCAGAGAGTACCGTATTTTTCGCCCTATAGGACGCACTTTTTCCCCTCCAGAAATGAAGGGGAAATGTGTGTGTGTCCTATGGGGTGAATGCAGGCTTTCGCTGAAGCCTAGAGAGCGAGAGGGGTCGGTGTGCCGACCCCTCTTGCTCTCCAGGCTTCAGGAAGCTATCCCCCCAGCCCGGCAAGCTCCCAGAGTGATGCCAAAGCTGCACACAGCTTCACCATCGCTCTGGGACCCGTTCTGGGGGCTGGGATCGGGGGAAGCTCGGGCTTCCCCCACCCCCAGCCGCGCAAGCTCCGAGAGCGATGGTGAACGTGCGCGCACCTTCGCCATCGCTCTCCGACCTGGGCTGGGGGCGGGGGAAGCTCAGACTTCCCCCACCCCCAGCCCCGCAAGCTCCGGGAGCGATGGCGAACGTGCACGCACCTTCGCCAGCACTCTCCGACCCACTCTGGGGGCTGGGGGCGGGGGAAGCTCGGGCTTCCCCCAGCCCCGCAAGCTCCAGGAGCCACTCTGGCTCCTGTTCTGGGGGCTGGGGTTGGGGGAAGCTCGGGCTTCCCCTGCCCCAACCTCGCGCCTGGGGAAAAAAAATAATTCCCCCCCCCTTTATTTCCCACCCCCCAAATCTAGGTGCGTCCTATGGGCCGGTGCGTCCTATAGGGCGAAAAATACGGTAAATATCATTATTAGGAAATGCACCTTATTTCAGGGTATTCTTGTCCCAGCAAATAGGCTTCCTATTCAGAGATTCAAATGAAGTAACTCCTATGGACTCCCAGTTCCTGTCCCCTGAATGACCAATATTTCATTCAAAGACTGACATTGCTCCTTAAAGTATTACTTGATTATATTTGAATAGAAAATGCAATGCTGCTTAATTTACCCTAATTTCAAGGTGTTTTCGCTTTGATTATCTCTCATTCAGAAAGATTGTAACCCTCACTGTGAGGTCCAGGAACCATAAGGGGAAAGAGCATAGTTTTCTGATTCTCAGAAATATTAGGCATCCAGCAGTTTTTGTTCTGTCACATTTTTCCTAAAATCTCAGCATGAGAAATGAGCTGTACTGAAAACACAGCTCTTCTCATTTTATTGCATCAAAGGCTTAGCTTAGGCAAATTGTTAGACTTGCAGCCTGAAAGCTTTCCTCATCAGGAAACAAAATTATTTTAAGCTTCTCCAACTGAGCCTGTGGAGAAATGAAGACAAATTGTTGGGCAAAGCTTGCTATTTGAACCCAGATGAACACAGAGCCAGATGAATCAGTGCAAAAGGGATTGATGCATGGGTTCATGGCAAAATGTGAAGGATTTTAAAGAAGAAGGGAAGGCCTAGAAAATGAAAGGGTTTGTTCTGTTGTCCCCCGGCACAGTAAAATCAATACAAGTTTGAAGCTGTACAACTATGATTTGTCCTAATGGTGAGGTCAGAGGTCAGAGGCATACGTTGCCTTCTGACACCATCAAAGCAAATAAAATCTCAGTTTGGTGGCAACTTGGGAAAATCTCCTGTCTGCTGTACAGGCATGGAGGAGAAACTTGATCAGCCAAACTTACCCGATTCTCACTCCCTGAAACCATTTGCAAACTAAAACACAACCATGCTTCAAAATTCACACTTTCCAAATTTTGTGGTGCACTTCTCCAGCTAAGTAATGTGTACAAAAATGCACATAGTAGGGTAAAGTGTGAATAACAATACATCTATTGGTGAAAAGAAGATACAGTGGTACCTCTGGTTAAGTACTTAATTTGTTCCGCAAGTCTGCTCTTAACCTGAAACTGTTCTTAACCTGAAGCACCACTTTAGCTAATGGGGCCTCCTGCTGCCGCTGTGCCGCCGCTGCACGATTTCTGTTCTCATCCTGAGGCAAAGTTCTTAACCCGAGGTAATATTTCTGGGTTAGGGGAGTCTGTAACCTGAAGCATATGTAACCTGAAGCATATGTAACCCGAGGTACCACTGTACAAAATTGCATTATATTAGCAGAAGTTGTTTTGTTTGTTTGTTCTGGAGCATCTCTAGCAAAAACTCTGCTCAGAGACAGAGCTTTTAAGTGCGGACCTGTGCCTGAAAAGAGCAGGGCAAAGGGTAAGCGTGGATAAGCCCTATATTAAGCAAAATTCACACAAAAATGTTGATGAATTTTCATAAGGACTTATTTTGAAAAAATGCAAATTGACTTGGAAGTGTAAAGCTGAAAACTGGAAATTAGAAGCCAAGAGAAACCAGATTAACATCTTCACCCATTCCTACTCCCATATCACCTATTTATGCTGTCAAATCAAGACTCACTTCACTTTAGAGCACCCCAAATTTTATAGTACTAATATTTACACTACTACAATACTAATGTTATCACCTTGTTTGTTTGCCACTTTTGCCAGCCATTTCTAAGCCCTGCCTCTAGAGTTCGTTTTCCAATGTTCATGACTGGACTTAGACTTTGTTTTCAGTAGACTTCACCCTCTCTTTCAGTATCAGTATTGTGTTTTTATAGAAGGAAGAATGACAGGTAACATAATGGGATCCATCGGGTGAATATTGCTTTAAATAGTGAACTGGTTGGTGTGAACTTGCAAATCAGTCCCCAAGTAATTTTTCAATTAAACTGATGGGATTATGCAATGGAGGGAACTGGGCTCTTCTGTGACTGTGAGATGCTTGTCCTACAACTTCTCACAACCTACTACTGTAGGATTGTACACCAAGGAAAGTGCCTTCTAACTAAGGGCATACATTAAAATAATATCTACTAAAACAGTTGTCTGTGCTATTTTTTTCTCTCAATTGTGACATCCTAGTTATTGACTTTCCTCGGGACAGTTCACAAAGCATTATATCCTTTCAGCACCAAAGGCCTATTTATTTCCCCAAGCCTTTATAAAAAATATTAACTAAGATTGGTCTTAATCTGCTGCTATGGCTTCAAATTTTGCACCAATGGTCATGATTTATATTTCATCTGGGTTTTTTAAATTTAATTTTTTTGTTGTTGTCTTGATGTCATTACTGTTCTTTTTAGCATTAGCAATTGTGGGAGTGTTTGTAAGTAAAGGTGGGATACATATTTAAAAAAACAAACAAGCTAGAATTTGGCATAACACAGACACCATCTTTAGTGTTGCCAACAACCTGTAGAGGAAGAGGAAGAAGTAAATCCTGCTGTATTAAATGCAGCTCACTCCCAGGAAAGTGTGAACACTACTGCAGCCTAAGTTGGAAGTTTATAGTGTGCTTTAAGTTGCTCATAGTATTATAGATACAGGGTGGGGGCAATGGGCCACAGTGACTAGTCTAAGGGCACATCTTTTTTAAAAAAATCGAATTGTTGACAGAAGTCAGAATGATGGAGGACTTCCTGGTTGAAAGCTCACAAAAGAAACCACTATTCTACTGCCACCTTAAAAGCTTGACTGTCACAATGCTTGAGAATGGATGAACGTTAATTTCTTCTCAAGTCAAGGAGTTCTTAATCCATAAGGTATCATGGCTGATGCCATTATATCATAGTTGACTCGGTCCCGGGGTGCAAACCACAGTCCCTTGGAACGAAGTACAGGTTCAAGGCGCCAAAACTGATAACAGAAATTCAGCAAAGAACTGTTGCTGCAGTCCCAACGATAGTGAAAGAAATACATTGACTGCCCAACCACAATGAGGTCAAACTATTATACCATGAACCTGCTTGCAGAGTTGTGGGCTTCCTGTCTCCTCCCTTGTCATATCAGAGTAAGCCAGAATGAGAGACAGAGAAAGAGAGGAACTAGGGTAAAGTGTTGTGGCTTATAGTTCCTGTTTTGTTTTGTTTTTTGCTTTTTTTAACGGAGCAGCAAAGTGAAGCCGTCCGAATGAAAATGACAGTTGCAGCATGTTAGTACTTGATAGCTAAACGGGCATCTTCTCGTTTGTGCCTCGGCAAGTGAAGAGCCAGGCTTCTCGGATCTTGTCGAGTTCACTCAGGCCCACCATGGAAAAGCAAAGGTAAGGACTTCCCTTGTTCGTAATGACCTTCCATTTTCGTTTGTGGATTATAGAAAGCAAACGCAATCTACAAAAAGGAACGTTTTGCTTTTGAGCCTCTGACAACACAATTGACAACGTGCAGCCATAACATGAGCAGGCATTACTTCCCCTGATTAAACTGGCGTGTATGCGACCATGCCTGCACGGGAAAGATAAAGGGCATCTGTGTTCATCCGAGGCAAATACTTCGGCCAAGACTGGAAGAAGGAAACTAATAATGTGATTAAAAGGCCTCAGCAGTGTGCCCAGTTTTGTGGGTTAAATAAAGAGAGCACTTCTCACCTTCATAGTCTGGTTTGAATCTAAGGTTTTTTCCAAGCAGCTACAAAATAAAGTAATGGCATCTGGAGAAGGTAGGTAGTTCCTAAGCTCTCCATGGGGGGGGACCTGTTGCATAAGTTTTTTGGGGTACAGAAGTAATTCATATGCCAGGCTGAATGGGCTTCAAAATCCTTGTTTAAAATATTATCTAGTTTTAGACTTTGCAATGGATTGATTTTGAAAATAAAGAACTGGTTATGTTTAGTATAAAATTACACGATATGTGTGAACCTTCCACTTTTTAGAAGGAACTCGCAGGAAAAACCAAACAAACTATGACTGCAGTGGTGGTGGGCATTAAGAGGGAGTGAGGTGGTGATCGCCATACTTTTCTTTCCCTCCCGCCCCCATTTATGACAAT